ATTATGCAGCTAATCAATTCAGTTTTTTCTACAGTAGATTTCACATACTATTCTCCATGCTATGTACCTTGGCTCTAATAGGGGCTGAAAAACTTGCCCAAAGTGAGAGCTTGATTTTTGTGGCCAGGAAAAATTAAGATTTTCAAATGCGAATTTCATGGACCAATATGAATGATGGGGAAAGTGCTTATACAGCACAGTATTAGAGTGTGCTGCATTATTTGAGGTCCTACAGAGGAGATGTTAAACATGGTCTTTTCTTCATCTGGTATGGGCCCAGGTGGAAATGAAAGATCCTGTGGCACTTTTTTTTTTTAAAAAGAGTAACTCCAACATCCTAGTCGGAGAGGATTTTGACTAAATTAGGCTCTACTTTTTAAGGCTGTATGTAGGCTATTGCTGAGCGAATAACGCATAATGACTGCTGCATTTGCCTACACACCATCACTGAACAACAAGTGTCTAATTCATTTCTGTAAAGCATTTAGGGATGTCTTGAGTATGAAAGGCTCTATATCAAATGAAATTCCATTATTCTCTTTTAATAGTGTATCAAACAGAACACCATTTCTGTGCAGTTTTGAAAAGTAATTTAAGATATCCCAAGATAGATTACACCATCCTACAAGCTCATTGAGGTAAAAGTTGCATTTAGTGGTTGATTAGCTATTACCAAAGAGGAGATATCAATGAAATTACTAGGGATTTGTCATTGAATTTTTGAAAATGACAAAACTCCACAAAAAGATAGTATAATAAAAACTACATATTTGCATTCTGATCCATAGTTTGAAATTTATGGCCAATAAAGGAAATATTAATAAGAGGTTTTAACTAGAGATGTGGTAAACTCCCTCCAATTTAGTAGTGCATATATAGTACAGTCACTCTTGTCACCACCTTGTTATCAAACCAAACTAAAGGACAATGATCTAAATAGCTTAATCCAAGTCCAAAGAAACACTATGGTTGAGGAAAACATTACAATAGGTTTTTATTATCCTTCCATTAGATTCACAGAAGAATTGCAAAAAGAATGTCTCATCCAGTGCTTATTCACTACAACTCAAGTGGCCTGGATACTCCACATTTTGATTACTCTTGGGCTTCATTTGGGATACAGGTGATTTTCCCCTTCCACTCATATGTGATTCACATATTGTGATGTGCAACACTAGGACCTAAGGAATTTCAAGTTTCTGCTATCTTTCCAGACAGTCCTGATGTACATACTGTGACAGAATGCCAAGTACTCAGGAACAGGCAACCAGACAGGTTTTTACACAAGGGTCATCATTTTTCTTTAGAACACAGTGCATGATATGAAGCCAAACATGGTATACTGGCCAAGAGGGCATAATAATGCGGATGCTACTGTCTCAGTACTGAGTGTGACACTAATCTAGACTAAAGTCACAGCAGGTTGTGCAGTGCCACAGTCTCAGGACAAGACAAACATAGAACAGCCTGATATTGCATTAAGACAGCATATAGAAAGCATGTACCCCTGGGTTTCTCAACGTACACTGGAACGGGTTAACAGGGAACAACAATGGTGTTTGAAGTGTACTGCAGCCTCCAACAAACCCATCAAAAAGAACCACGGCTGAATGTGTAGCTCAGAGGAAGACAAGAAATACAGATTCTCTGGAGGCAAAGAGAATCCACAAACCCTTGAGTGAACTGATGGCTGCTAATAACTAGCCCACTTCAATTGATCAGCTGATCAAAGCACACTCCTCAAACTGCAGGAGCCTTGTTACCAGCTCCTCTCCTACACGGTGATCCTGGCTTTGAATGAAAGAGGCCATCTGCAAGTACTAACGTTGGTGGATGGGATTTAAAGTAGTTATTTTTATGAGTCCAAGCTAGTGTGCTTTATGTAGCAATATATATTTCATACACCAGTTTACTAATAACACAAGGTATAATCTGCCTCCTGCACTTTGCACTCATATTGTGCTTACCTATTAAGGGCAGGATTGTGTGCTTTCCTTGCTGAAATGCACATGGGCATGCAGGAAGCCCCTTATCCACATTACACATTTGTTCAAGAGCAGGACATAACAGCAGCCCAAACACTTAGGGCAGGTCTACACTACAGCCTAAGTCAATACAACTTGCATCCCTCAGGAGTGTGAAAGCCCCTCCCCCACCCCAAGCAACACAAGGTTCGCACTGTCCACACCAGCACTATGTTGGTGGAAGACACAGCTTCCACTTCTAACCAAGGGGGAGTTATTATGCTGACAGGAGAACAATCTCCTGTCGACATGGCGTGTCTTCACCAGACATGCTACAGTGGTGCAGCTGCACTTATGTAGTTCTGTAGTGTAGACTTGACCTCAGAGGAGCACAAGGACTGCTTGCTCTTGCTGCCCAGGCTGCCCCCTTCCTAGTCTGGGCACAATCCTTTCCCCTGGTACAGCACTTGTTCCAGCTCAGGTGGTAGCTAGGGGATTCCTCATGATGGCTCTCCCTTTGATCTGTTCCACCCACATCTCTTTCGCATAAGGCAGGAATCCTTTGTCCCTCTGGGTTCCCACCCCCCTCCTTCTCAATGGAAAAGCACCAGGTTAAAGATGGATTCCAGTTCAGGTGACACGATCACATGTCACTGTAAAAAGAACAGGAGTTCTTGTGGCACCTTAGAGATTAACAAATTTAATAGTGCAAATGCCTACCTGCACTACAGCTCACGTTTTC